TGTCCATGAGTTTCTGAGCTGAGAAGCCAAAGGGAGTTCGTGGAGCTTTGGTTTTAGTCTTCCTCACCCAGTGCTCAACTGGCCCCAGCTTCCAAGCAGAGGAACACGGAAGCTAATGGAGATATCAAACAGAACCACCATTCCGAAGACTCCCTTTTTCCACCACCAGCACCCGCCATCCATCTGCAAATGTAATCGCAGAGCCTTGTGGCGTCTTCATCACTAGGGGCTCCAGGGGAAAAAAGGGGGAGAAAATTCTGTTCCGTTCAAAGGCACCCTCTATTATCACGTATTATTTGTATATAGCAACATAAGAATTTCTCCCTCCTCTTGGAATCCCCGTAACCCCACCCCGCGCAATATTTAAACAGCATTTGTCGTCCGATTCGTACAAACGCTTGAGGCCTTTCTGGAAACCTATTTCCATTCAAAGGCTAGAAAATTGCTCTCCTTCCTTTAAAAAAAGGGTGGGGGTGGGGGGGAGCAGGCGCAGCAGCGGCAGCTAGGACAGACAACAACAACAAAAAAACTTTCTCCTGCATAATCCTGGCTCACAGAATGACAAAGAAAAGATATTGACTTACCCCGGAACGGATGATGTGTTTGATAAGGGGGGGACTTTTTTGAAGATTTCTGTTCGGGAGCTGCACAGACAGCTGCAATTCATGGGCGATGCTGATTGCCAGAAACGCTATAGATTGGCATGGGGTCTGCAGCTCACAGATCCTGATCAATACCCCTACACTCACACGCCAGATGGTTTGGGGAAGGACAAAAATAAAATAGTCCAAATCAACCCACCATTATGTCTTTTTGTAGTGCTCCGACCAACCTAGCTATAGCACAAATATGTTCTGCTCCACACAAAACCTTCGCCAGCATTCTGAACATTTGGGTGGAAATCAGCAGCCCTCTTCTTCCCGAGGTTTGGGCTGTGGTTACTGTTGTTTGGTGAAAACAAAGCTGTTGGGCCCCTCATCCAGACTGGGTTTACTTGTGGGCTGTTTATTTTTTTGTGTGTGAATAATTTATAGGGTCTCTGTTTTAATTGAATGTCCACTGCTTTCTCCCTATCAGAGTCTAAAAAAATAATTTAATGTGAAAACACATATGAAAAGTATAAAAATTTCCAGTCTTCTGCAATGGCTAGCTCAAGTTCAGATTTTTTTTCCTTTTACAATACAAGAGGTTTTACATGTGTTTTCAAAGCTGCACTTTATGTAAAGGCTTCTTTGACCCATTTAAGTGTTTGATCTGAAAGACTATCAGACCTGTGGATGTGGCACACGGAGAAATGGAGATCCTGCCCCTGATAAAATGGCTAGTGCAACTGTTTGTTCAGATTCTACTAGTCATGAACTAGCTCTCCTGCTACCACAGTTCTGTATAGTCTATTTGCCAATCAAATGCCAAAAGGAAGGGGGAACAGGCATGTAATTTCAAATTAAAAGAAAAAATCCTGAGTCGAAGAACTTTTGAAGCCTAGTGTATATGTCCTAAACAAGGGGCAGTTAGAAAGCATTTTTATTTTCTTAAAGAACAATAGAAAATGAAACATCAAAGATATGTTAAAACGTATTTGAAAACCTTATTAGTACTAATGCTCTTAAAATTATCTTCAAGTAGAAAATAAATATTCTTCCTTTTTTTTTTTAAGAAAGGGAAAAGGGCATGCAAACCTAAATCAGTAGAAAATTAGGAGGCCGACTAAAATACACCCATTAATTTTCCTTTTAAGTGGGTTTTGGTTTGAAATATAAAACCTCAAACCACCATTAGAAAAAACAACGTGAAAAATCTGCTTTAATCTACTCCGATGAAATTATACACAAAGAAGCCAATACTATTTCATGATTTCCCTGAGATCGCCAATATTGATCGAGCGAAGGGGAAGCTATGGTGGGAGAGAGGGAGGAGAAAGGGAGGAGGGAGGGAGGGAGCCAGGCATCGAGAATATGCAACTCACCTTTCAACTCCCCACTACTCCACTGCTCCCAGGCACACCGAAATGCATTTCCTAGGATATTTATCTTGATAGCCTGGTAGATGAGTTTATTCTTTTGAAAAATTATTTAAATGGCAACTTATATATTTAGTTTTCTATATAGAGGCACTGCCTATCAATGTCCGAGCCTGGGGTCACTGGCCAGTCTTTGAGGCTGAAGCCGGGAAAGAGAAGGCTGCTTCAGCACCAGGGCACACCAGACAGACTCCTTCCCCTAGCTTGCATTCTTATTACCTTTTGTTCAATTCCAGGTCTATTTCAAATAATAACTGTTTCAAATTATCCCAAGTGTCCAGCTGCCATATATATAAGGTGGGGTGTGGGGAGAGAGGCCATAGGAGAAGGTGAGAGGGAGAGAAAAGGCAGAGAAACAGAAAACTGAATTATTTCACCGGTCTGGTTTTTGTGACATTATAGTAGCAAGCATCCAGAAAAGTGTGTCTACAATCCACTTTCTTACCCAGGCTTTGATATAGAAGCAGCTATTTGAAATAATAACTGGTAAGGCATTGTCCGGAGCTCAATGGTAGACCTGTAACATCACTGTACATTTCATGTGACAGAATTGGGTGGGATGGGGGTGGACTCAGGAGGCTCTGTAGCCAGAAGAGAGGAGGGCAGCCCTGAAAGGTCGGGGGGACTAAGAACTATTTTTCAACCCTTTCTCAAGTCCCTGGAAGGCGCATACAGTATGCCAGACTGTGCCCTTGTTTCCCTAGCAAGTTTTCTCTAACAGCTGGAAGTGGTTGGAGGGGGCTGTCTTAAGGAGACCCCCCTGCTCTTCTTTCTGACAGCTGATCAAAAGAAAATAGGTCACGCTTCTCAAACTTATGTCCACCCTGTCCTTAATTACTGTCTCTTTAAACAAAGGCAACATCTGCGCAACCTCAGCTAGCTTGAATCTTCTGGAGGCAAACAGAGGGCGCAACCTGCTTTGGAAGAATCTGCTACTTTTAATGCTTTCCGTGTCCGGTGGCTCTATTGGCTATCACCTCTCTCCCTGCTCCCACCCGGGTCGCAGAAATCTCCACCTTCTCTCGACCCCACTCCGGGGTTACCGAATAACGGAAATTCTAGGTAAAAGAAGGTGTACTTTTTAAAGCTGCGGCTTGAGAGCGTTCTAGAACTTGCCTGCGTTCTGGGTCTTTTCAGAGACAAGATTTGGGATATGCTAATGTCTGCCAAGGCTTTATGGCATCTACCACAGCCCTAATCCGGGGTGTTCCTCTCTCGGGATTAGAGAGAAGTGTGTGTGTGTGTGTGTGTGTGTGTGTGTGTGTGTGCGTGTTTGGGGAAAGATCCACGGGTGTCCTCCAAGACTGTTTACATACTCCCTGCCCCCAAGAGAAGTTTGCTTGCTTTAGGCAACAATCTTGCCATAACACCCACCCCCACCTCCACACCATTGACATTTTTTTTTTTTTAATTAACAAGTCTCTAATGAGGCAAGCATTTGGTCACATTGAAACCGAAGCTCTTGGAGTTCTAGCTTTGTTTTGCAATCTAGCAGGGCCCTTCTGAAGCCTCATAACAGGGAGATTTATGGGCTCTCCCGATAATTAAATGATATTATTGTGTTAACTTTGCATGCCCTACCACGGGCCGAGCCGCCTATGGGCTTGGTGCATCCGCCTGCCGTGGCTCACAGGCGGCGAGGGCGCTGGAGTTCCTCTCGGGCGGTGGATTAAGCACGCCCCAGTCTCGGGAATTTGCCCGGCATTAGAGAACATTAGAAAAAACATTTGAGCCCGCATTTTAAAATGCTAAATAAAAAATTTTTAAAAAGACTGGCTCCCTGCGAGGGACGCTTGGGAAGGGGCTTGCTGAGACCTGTGTTTGTTTTTACACCAGCAAGTAGCGGAGTCCTTTCCTCCCAGCTTTCTAGCCTGGAGAAAAGCTCTGGGGTGAAGCGAAGGGAACCTAAGCAAGGCCCTTTCCCCCCCAGATCGCAGCTGCTGATGGGGGAGAGGGGAGAGACACAACGCGGCACCTTTAACATAATTTCTGTTCCCGGCTCACACTCTTGCCTCTCTCTTTCTCTTCTACCCCTTCTTTCCCTCCCTCCCTCCTTCTCTTTGACGTTTGATGCTAGTGGCAGAGGAGAGAAAAAAAAAAAAAAAAAAGACAGAGCCGTCAGCCAAACCTGAAATGCGCAGCCCCGCCTCCTCCTCAGCCATTGGTGGATGTGCGCAGGAGGCCCGCCCCCCAAGCCAGCCGCGGCTTCGGAGTGGCTGCTCGCGGCGCTCATCGGCTGCCGCCCCGCCCCGGGTCCGGGAGGGTAGGTTGGCTGCCCCGGCCAGCGGCAGAGCCCTTCTGGACAGCTCCCGCTCACCCAAACAGAAGCCGTCCGCACCGGAGCGGGCTGGGACGACATGGCTAGGCTGCGCGCCGGCCCGAGCGGCGGGGCTCGGTGATCCCTCCCTCCCTCCCCGCCCCCTCTCCTCTCCTCTCCCGCACACACGCCCCGCCGCCCCCACCCCGCCCCCACCCACCCCGGGCGCGCCCGCCCGCAGCCCGGGGCGCACACCGCACGCACGCTCTCTCCCCCTGCACACACTCACGCAGCCCGGTGCCCTCCCTTGCTCCCCGCGGCGGAGCTCCGCCACGCGCGCCCCGCCAGCCCGCCGGCCGCCCCCGCCGCCCCCGTGCCCCGATGGACTGAATGAAGGCTGCCTACACCGCCTATCGATGCCTCACCAAAGAACTAGAAGGCTGCGCCATGAACCCGGAGCTGACAATGGAAAGTCTGGGCACTTTGCACGGCGGGCCGGCCGGCGGCGGCAGCGGCGGGGGCGGCGGCGGGGGCGGCGGGGGCGGCGGCGGGGGCCCGGGCCATGAGCAGGAGCTGCTGGCCAGCCCCAGTCCCCACCACGCGGGCCGCGGCGCCGCTGCCGGCTCCCTGCGGGGCCCGCCGCCGCCGCCGCCGCCAGCGGCTCACCAGGAGCTGGGCACGGCGGCGGCAGCGGCGGCGGCGGCGGCGGCGTCGCGCTCGGCCATGGTCACTAGCATGGCCTCGATCCTGGACGGCGGCGGCGACTACCGGCCCGAGCTCTCGATCCCGCTCCACCACGCCATGAGCATGTCCTGCGACTCGTCCCCGCCCGGCATGGGCATGAGCAACACCTATACCACGCTGACGCCGCTCCAGCCGCTGCCGCCCATCTCCACCGTGTCGGACAAGTTCCACCACCCGCACCCGCACCACCACCACCCGCACCACCATCACCACCACCACCACCACCACCAGCGCCTGTCGGGCAACGTCAGCGGCAGCTTCACCCTCATGCGCGACGAGCGCGGGCTCCCGGCCATGAACAACCTCTACGGCCCCTACAAGGAGATGCCAGGCATGAGCCAGAGCCTGTCCCCGCTGGGCGCCACGCCGCTGGGCAACGGGCTGGGGGGCCTGCACAACGCGCAGCAGAGCCTGCCCAACTACGGGCCGCCGGGCCACGACAAAATGCTCAGCCCCAACTTCGATGCGCACCACACTGCCATGCTGACCCGCGGGGAGCAGCACCTGTCCCGGGGCCTGGGCACCCCGCCCGCGGCCATGATGTCGCACCTCAACGGCCTGCACCACCCGGGGCACGCTCAGTCCCACGGGCCGGTGCTGGCGCCCAGCCGCGAACGCCCACCCTCGTCCTCGTCGGGCTCGCAGGTGGCCACCTCCGGCCAGCTGGAGGAGATCAACACCAAAGAGGTGGCCCAGCGCATCACCGCCGAGCTGAAGCGCTACAGCATTCCGCAGGCCATCTTCGCGCAGAGGGTGCTGTGCCGGTCTCAGGGGACCCTCTCCGACCTGCTCCGGAACCCCAAGCCGTGGAGTAAACTCAAGTCTGGCAGGGAGACCTTCCGCAGAATGTGGAAGTGGCTGCAGGAGCCGGAGTTCCAGCGCATGTCGGCCTTGCGCCTGGCAGGTAAGCCCCGAGAGTCACCTGGAGCCACGCTGCAGGGGAGAGGACTCCTCCGGGGTGCTTGTGGACCCGGGTCAGCACGCCTAGCACTTCTCTGGATTCTATCCCTCGCACACTTCCTGCTCTTGACTTTATTTCTTGTTCTACTTCCTCTTTCTCTATTCCTCCTCTCCTTTCTGCTCTCCCTTCTTCTGTTTTTCTTCTTTTCCTTCCTCCTCGGCTACAGCTTTGATGTACCGATCCCCCTACACACACACACACACACACACACACACACACACACACGTTTCATTTGCCTCCCTCAATGTGTCAATGTTGCCCTCTCTTTCCGAGGTGAGCTGGACTGCTTGGTATTCACTAGGAGCCCTCTTTTTCCAGGATTCACAGAGACCAGGTATTACCCTTGTTCAAAACCCTGTGCATTGAACACTTGCTTAAACAATACATTCCAGTTTTCCAGGCTGCCTGGTCTCTCTGTATGGAATCGGTTGAGGGGCTTCGCTCTTCAGAAGAGAAAAAGATCTCTCTGTTCTCCTACCTACTACGTAAGGCAAACTTCTTTGGTTATTGGCAGGAGTTACAGCCTTGCCCGCACGGGGAACTGGTGGCTAGACTGTAACAGCGCTTCCTGAGCCCTTCTTCGGCCTTGGCGTTGGCACAGGGACTTTCTGACCCAAAGAGCCGACTTGGGCTAGCTTCCGTGTCACTGTCCACAGCGAGGAGAGGGTGCGAGGATGAGGGTGTGCACTGCCACATTAACCTCCGGGAGAATGGGGGGGAGGGGGGGAGGAAGAGAAACTAAGAATGGAGAGCGCCTCGCCTCACTTGCCAACAACCCTTGCCGGGCTCCTAGCGTTTGCTGGGATTTGCCGAGGCTTGGCTGGGCTCGGGGAGAGAGGGTAGGCGCTCTCAGGGAAGAGGTGCCGAGAAATTAAGATGCAGGTTAGTTAATGCATCTTGGCCGCGGGCTACAGGCTCCGCCTTTGCATTAAGCGGACGCTGATTGTGCGCGTCGCGCCGTGGCGGGGAGGGCCGGCGACCGGCGGGAGGGGACGAGCGGATGCGCTGGTTACATTGTTCTGGAGCTGCCTTGGCTCTTTGTGCCTCCTCTAGTGGCGGAGCCGCGAGGTACAGCCCTCTATTGTTCTAGGAGCACAGACACCTCCTGCGTGGGCGGCGGGAGCTGGAGAGGAAAACGCAGCAGTGGCTGCGCCTTTCTCGCTGTTGCGCGCTTTTGTGCGCGCAGAACCAGCGAGGTGCGCGTGGCAATCGCGCTGTTCTTAGGAACCAGCCGCGGGGGGCCCGTAGGGTGTAAGGGTCCAGGCACCCCATTGGGGAAGACACACTGTACACTATTGCAAACGGGGTTGGACAGCTTCTCTTGGACCGGAGCGATCTCTCGGGCCCGCGGGCCATCAGGGGAATAAGTAGTAGTGGCGTTGATTTCCACAGGCGGGGACAGCGGGACTCACGCGGTTCTGTGGGTTCTGAGCCAGCCGCACACAACGCGCTTCCGGAGGGGAAAGCACGGCTTCCTCTCAGGCGTCCCGGGCTTCCCTCGCACCGCCCAGCCTGAATTATGGGGTGCACTCTACCGATACCGGACCGGGCTGGGGGACGTGACAGACAGCATTTCACCCAGGCTTGGGGAGGGGGTGTTTCCGATCTGATCACCTCAGCCTTTGCCTCCAGCGGCCCCCGCAGTGTTGATCTGGGAAGATAAAAAAGAAAACTAGCTTTGGCCCCAAGAGCTTCTTCAAATCGGCAAACGCCAAGTACTTTTGCTTGGATTTAGAAGTCTGTTTTATCTCTCTCTAGCTTAGTCTTCCTCTTCTCCTACATTTTCCTCTGATTTGCTCTTGGTTCCTAGCAAAGATTAAGCAGTGAATAGAGAACAGCGGTGAGATATAAATTGGAGGCTTACTGACAATTCCCAGTAAGTTCAATAAACAGTGTTGTTCCCTTTTGTTTTAACACTCCCCCCCCCCCCCCAGTCTCTCTCCTGAGAGCTCTAGCGTGTGCTAGCTTCCTGGACAGAGGCGGCCGAAAGAACTTGGCAGCTGGTCTTTGGGGGGTACAGACTGGATGACAGCTATTCCATCCCAGCCCATCTCAGAGTACTGTCGCCCTCTCACGCCTATGGAGCAAAGGACAGAGCTAGAAGAAAAGAAGAAGAAGAAGAGGAGAAGGAGGAGGAGGAGGAGGAGGAGGAGGAGGAGGAGGAGGAGGAGGAGGAGGAGAAGGAGGAGGAAAAAAGGGGGGGGGGGAAGCAAAGCACTGCCTTCCTGCCTATGTATCTGAAAGTGGTGTGGCAAGTCATGTTTTACTGTTAGCACTCCGAAATGACCCCAAGCTTGCTGGGTTGAAGGATAAGTATGGCAATTCTGCAAGGACCCCACCACAGAGAGTCCCAGGATGACTCAAGAGTCCCAGGATGACTCCTCTGGGGCTTTTAGGAGGAGCCCCAAAACTGCCACTGAAACTGCCTCCTTCAGAGAGTGGGAAATTCCTGCTGAATGCTTCGCTCAAGCATTCAAATTTGCTCTATTTTATTACCCCAAGTTGAAAAGGGACAAGAGCCTTAGCCTTTTTATCTGGTCATTTTATCAGCAACTACGAGCATGTTGAGTGGTCATTATTACATAGAAGGCTTTTCAGTTTGGGGTCGGTAGATCAGTCTCTTCAGACACTGACACAGAAGCTGGGCTGGTAAGTAGGTATTATGTACTTGGGAGCATGAGGGGACTGGAGCAAATGGAGAAGAAAAGCTGAGGCCTTTACCGCCAGGAGTATCGATCGATCGATTGGAATCCCCACCGGGCTGGGCCGTTGCTGAGGGCCCACAGTGTTGGGCTCCGGTTCCAGGGGTTAAACAATCCCAGTAGCTCCAAAGGGCTGCTGGGCCTTGTCTCCCAGCCCTGTGCCTAGAAGTGGTGCCACCCCCTTCCCACTCCTGTTCCAGACCAGGTTGGCACTATCTATTTATCTACCTACCTTCCTACCTACCTACCTATCTCCTTTTAGTTTCTCTTTCTCTTTCTCATTTTGGGCCCCTTAAGTCTTGCCAGAGGCCCAAGCAGACAAGGGTTTGAGGGAGTTATTAAGAATTAAGATATCTGATATGGACCATTGCCTGCAAACCTCACCCTTAGGTGAAGCACACTGTCACAACAAAAGCAGGTCCTTCCTCTCCCCCTGCTCACCTCCTCGGTGTACACAGCTCAAGGTAGCATTTCAAGAGGGAAGGGAGAAGACGTCAGGAAACTTAGATTGCCCAGCACCAGGCTTCAGAGAAATGGCCTCCAAGTGTGAGATTTCGTTTGGAAAGGTTGGCAGAGGCAGCAACTGCCCCCAGCTGGGCCTCTTCAGGGGTTTTCCACTGCTGGCCCCCGCAGGGCAGTTTTTATGAATTGTGGCGGAGGTTGGGAGGACACACTCCCATAGGTTCCAGAGCCAACACTCTCCAGCTTGCCTGGGAAAATCCTCTAAACCAAGGCACAAACAAGAACAAAGAGGAAGAGAACCCAGACAAGAACCTGGACGGTGTCCCACCCAGGAAAATCGGGCCTCAATGGCAGGAGTGTTGCCTCCGACGCCCAGAAGACAAAGCAGAGCCCTCAACCCTTGACAACATCCCCTGTAACCCAGGCTCCTGGTGGTCGGCTAGGAATCCACCTTCCGTCCCAGACATGGACAGACTCCGGACCTCTTCGGGCAGCAACTCCCAGCAGCCAATCTGGAGCCAACTCTGTTCCCACAGCAGAGGGCACTTAACCAGCGCCACCAGATGCCTGCAGCAGTGAGCATGTTGGGGCACCAACTGTATGCCCATCTCCTTCTGAGAGGGGCGGGGAGGAGGGCGTCTTAGGGTACAGGCACCTCCTAAATCAAGGAGAGCGAGAGGAGAGCCTTCATTCTCAGACCTCTCCCCACTCCACACCCCTCACCCCAAGGCTCCCTGCCCGCCTCAGCCCAGCTCTCACTAGTTTAATTCAGGATCGTGGCCATGCGGCCACAGGCAACCAGGTCGGTAGGGAACACGCGATATTTTCGCCTGCTGGATGGTCGGATTAATAATTGAAAAGCTCTCGCTCCTGTCTTTGCTTGGTCAACCCCGAGTGCCGGTAGAACACCTCCCGCACACGCATTACGGCGGACGGGAGCGGGCCCCAGGAGGCGGGTAGCGAAGCCGCTCAGAGACGCAGCCCAGGCCCGCCGGCGCCCGGGACGAGAGAAGCTGCGCATTTATTTTTATTCCAGGCTTTCCACTGTGTGGTTATGTCACTTTCTCAAACAAATGTGTATATGGAGAGAGATCGATGCTGATAATGTTTAGAAGATTAAAAGAGCATTAATGCTGGCAACAATAACGTAAACGTGTGGACCCAGATTTCATTGATCTGGAACCTGATCCGGCGCGTTTCCAGTAAGCCCGGCCGTTCCCAGCAGAGCGCTCGCTCGCCTGGGCTCCCCGCGCTCCCCGCCGCGCTGCTTCCCCAGCTCCTGGCGGGTTCTCCGGTCCGCCCGCAGCTCCTCCCCGGAGCGGCCCCAGATACCCGAGGCTTTCTCTGGTCGCGGGACTGCCCGCCTGCTTCGCCAACTCCCCAGCGCGTACACACCGCTTCCTGCGTTTTCTGCGCCGCTGGCTCTGCAGGTGGCTGGGTGGGCTTTGCACCGTGCCCTCCCAGCTTCCTTGTCCTGGAGGAGTCCTCTCCCTTTCACCCAGGCCTCTACGCCTGCTCCAGCAGGGCCCTGGGCTACTTCCTTCCTCCATTGAAACCATCTAGGAAATTCAGGCACCCCCTCCATATGCGGGAATAACCAGGCCCTACGTTGGAAATGTCTCTAAAGCTGCTGCCTCTGCCATCCTTTCCAAATGAAATCTCGCACTTCGAGCCCATTTCTCTGAAGCTTAGTTTCTCTAACCCCGCCGCTTCCGGATCCGTGGGCCCCCTCTCATCCTTGACTGCTATTCTCATTAAAAGAGAGACCTCATTCGCATT